TTTACACACACAAGGTACATCATGTCACAAATATGTATGTGCATTTGTTTCATGATCTCATTAACGATAGCCAAATGGAGCGCTTTAAGGCCGAAAATGCATTGAAATCGCACATTTTCACCATTCCGGACCCGGATCTCAGTTTTGCATGGACGGATTTTGTTCAAATTTGGTACATACATTAAACATAATAGGACCTTGATGCACGTCTTTTTTTTTTTTCGGATCAAGTTCGAAATGGCCAACTGGCGGCCATTTTGTTAAAGAATTCAGTTCTGGATCCGTATCCAAGACATGTCTGGATTGATCAAGTTCAAACTTCACACACACATGGTACATCATGTCACAAATAGATATGTGCATTTGTTTCATGATCCACTTAACAATAGCTGAATGATGGCCATTTTAAGGCCGAAAATGCATCAAAATCACGTATTTTCACTCAAATATCAACGGAACGGGGACGTGTCATTGACAATGACTTGTTACAATGAAATCATCAATGTCCATCTTTGGTTCGCTGGATCCACAGAGCAAATTATGTTTAGAGAGATTTGGGTGTGGCCTTTAGTGACCCGTAGTATCATCCTCAATACAGTAAATGTTCATGCATTTATTCATTGTAACACTGTTATTGATGTTACACACTTTAGCAAAACGTACTGATAGATAAATTATGTAACCATATTCATGCATATATATTTAATAATCTAGTATATTACATATACTGCTTAACAAAGCAAGAACGTGTGTATGCAAAATAACAAATGTAATGTACTAAAAATTCACTCATGCAAGAGTTGAACAACGTCTACTCCAAAGAAAAATAATTAAAAACTAGAGGTGGTCATTTTATTGAGTGGAACACATTTCAGTTTATGATGAATTGTGCTGTATTTCATACATGTAGTTATATTCATGCATGGTCACATTTGCACATTTTGATATGCTTCTGTTGTTTTTATACCCCACAATACATTATACCATATTAAATGCCCACATTTACCTTGCACTCAGAATTCGTTTTTTGTTCTTCTTTGAATTTTGAAATCATAAAAGTGTGTTTATCCTATATTCATGAAAAGGGCAAATCACAGTACCTGTACATTAAAAATTAGATGGATATTTTGATGCCGTGAATTTTTAATGATTTAGAAATAGCATTGTCAACATTTTTGACTCTCGTGTGCAAAGCACAATTGGGGTCTTTGTGGTTAGAGCGTCTGTGTGTCGGGTTGTGTGTGTGTCTGGGCGTGTGTGTCGGGTTGTGTGTGTGTGTGTCTGTCTGTTCCACTGATATTTCAAGAACCAATTATCAGATTTTATTGAAACTTGGTACATAGATGCTCTGGGATAATGTTCAGACCTGACTACCGTAGTTTTGGGTTGAAATCCGTGTTAGTTACGATAGTTACGTGGAACCAATCTTAGTCATTGCTTACAGTTTTATTTTTCAATACTGTATTTCTATTTCTATTATAAGCACATGTGCTTACTGTGAATATAAACGACAAGGACAGGTCTATGGTCAAAATAAGACATATTTCAATAATTTTGCATGCAATAAACCAAATATTTGCTTTATGTGTATTGAAAATGTGTTTTTAATATTGTAGTATTTTTATTTCATGCCTCCAATACCTTCAGCACACGGGAGCTCTTTCTAAGCTTTCTTTGATTATTTATTTACTTCGTCTTCATTTGTGTGTGTTTAATGTACGAAGTACGTTGAACATTATTTATGACACTATTCTCGCGTTATATCTCATCGAGACTCGCGTGACTAATTAATTACATGACGTCATTAGTTTGTTGTTTCGCCATCTTGTAACACTAGTTTGTTCGCGCTACTCTTCGAGAATTTATCACAACCCACCACCATCCCACAGTCACCACCGGGGGCTTTGCCTTATTACTTAAGGAAATTTTCCCCCCAAGATAACTGTTTTAATTTATGCATATTTTTATTGTATTGTTTTTATATTTTCTTTAGTACTGTTTTCAGTCCCCGTTCAGGCGCAGCCTGAAAAGGGGACTTTATAATTCAGGTTATG